ACTATAGTTAAAAGCTTTCACAAAAACTCACATTTAACTTTTCCACTAGAATAAAAAACCCTTATAAAAAGTCATATCTCATCTCGAATTAAAAACTCAAATCGGAGAACTAAACGACTGTAGAGGGTTTTATATTAGATTTTGTTGGCACTCTTTCCTTATGAGACTAAAATAAGAATATTGACTCATTTCCAAAAATGACAATTTATCTTTAGAAAACTTCTAGGAAGGTTCCTGTCATGTTCTATCAAGATATCTCAGCTGGTGTGAATGTTAACAGTGACGGAGTCAATATTTCACTTCAGTGAGACATATATTAATAATAATGATAAAAGAAATATGTATGACGATATTTTATAATAACTACCAACTATGTATACGAGAATAAAGATTAAAAGTGTAAAGTTGAGTGAGAACACGTATAAAATATTTAATTTTAGTAGGGTGAAATAGAAATATCATAGAATTTTTAGAGATAGAAATATAAAATTAAGAAAGTGAGTGGGGGCGGCTGCCTGCACTGGTCAATGAATAGCTCCGCCCCTGAATGTTAGAATTGGTTAGAAAAGTGAGATATCGGTTGTTTCATAGAGTCCTAGACCAAAAAAAAAAAAGAAAGAAAGAAACATTAATGAGGGCCAAAGACGAGGTTTTTTTTTTCTTCTAATATACAGTACATGCAAAAAAAGGTAATTTTTTTTAGATGAAAAGATTCTGATAACTGTTTAGTGTATATATATATAAGCTCTATCTCGCCGAAGTACAACTTGTTATCGCCATTTTCAACAAATTTTACGACAACCTTTGCAATATCACATATTTTGCTGCTGCTGCAGAAAACCATTGATCTTTGAGGCGTACGTATATTAATGGCCATTATTAACAGTGCAAATTAAGTTAATGCATTCAGCTTCTTGTCTTCAATTTAACTTTTCGGATTAATTTCAAATATTCTCTCTGAACTTTGTCCTTGTAACACTTTACTTTTCAAATTTTAAAACGTAACATTCGTTCTCTCCGAACTTTATTCCGTTAACAAGTTTCATCATTCTGTTACAATGAGTGACAGAAATCGACATGTATCACTTATTTAGTAAAAATTAAAAGCGCAATTACGCTTATACCCTCCTAATCATATAATTTCCTATTTTTATTGAAAAAATTTACCATCTCCATTCCTAAATTCAGCCTCTTTTTCATCATCATCTTCTTGTATTCTACAGAGTGTTTCAATCTAAGTTTCTCTTCCCCTCTCTCTGTGCAGTGTGTTTCAGTCCAAGTTTTCAAAACACGAGTCTGTCTCAGAGACCATTGTTTTTTTCGCTTTCTCTATCTTCTCTCTTTCGCTCGTTGCACTTTTTTTCACTCCAAAACCTTCATCTCTAACCTCTTCTCCAAACAATCAGTTTATGGAGTTGAAAGGGTCACCTAACCCAATACCTATTTCTTATGGGGAGCAGATCGGCATCGATCTAGGGGCGGAAGATGGTCAGAGGCTGCGGGAGGAGGCGGATCTGCCTAGAGAAGATGTTCTACTCATCGATTTGGGCCGAGCCTTGCAATTCCGGCGTGACTGAGGCTGGATTAGGAGGTTCTAGTGTGATTGGACCGAGATGCGCAATCTCAACATGGAAGGGCCGGATTCCATCCGGATTTGGACTAGGGCATGTGATTCCGAAGAGATTGAAGCGGACCCCGGCAAGATTTGGATTGGCTTACGTGATTCCTGCTCGATTGGGGCGAATTCCGCCAAAGTGAAGGGCAGGTGTTGGAACGCTCATCATTAAGCTTGGGTCTTTCCATTTTTTCTAGGAAAAGGGAAATTTCTGATTGCATAATAAATTTCAAAAGCTAACAAAACATGGAAAGAAAGGAAATACATGAAGCATGTTGCTTCTATTGATGGGTTTTTTAGATTTGGTTTTCTTATATCCGGATTTATTTGTAGTTATAGATCTGGATTTGTTCTTTTAATTGATGTAATTTTTTTTTAATTAAGATTTGAGGTTGTTCATATAATGATATTCACGTGTTGGGTCGAGTTTACGATAATACTTTCTTCAAATGGGTCGAGTTTTACCCACGTGGTAATTTTCATTACTCATTGTAACGGAATAAAGTTCAGAAAGAACAAATGTTACGTTTTAAAATTTAAGGGACAAAATGTTACAAAAATCATAATTCAAAAAAAAAAATTTTAAATTAATCCAAACATTTCAGTTTCTCAAAAGATGTGCAAAAGAAACTTATAATTATAAAAATAATTCATGAAATTGTTCCACTAGTACGTAGAATCGAATCACAGTCTTAACAATATTATACATATCAAGCGAAAATTTTTAAATATTATATTAATTTCATTTCAGCGACCAACGCCACTTGAACTTCGAGGAAAAGCCCTTACAAATTACAATAGTCCATGCATGACTGAAAAGCTGCAGCCTATAAAAGTCGAGACGAGACTTGCAGGAAAATATATACTGTATTGCTTAAGATGGTCACCTGAAAATGACAAAGACTCCATAAATTGAGAGATTGTCTTCATGTGAAATTTTCCACCCGTATTTTCCAAAACCAGAGTATTTTAATGGTATAATATATCAATTTCTTTATGCCAAAACTAGAAATTAATTTGCTGGTTGCATTCCAATTTATTTCCATGTGTGGAATAAAGACAATCTGAATTTTCTTATCGTGTTTGACACACCTCAAGTCAATGATGTCAGAAATTGATTGATAGCAGCATACATTTTATTATTAATTTTTTGGTGCATATATTTTGTTTGAAAGGAGGATTGCATTCTATTGAACAAAATATACAAACACTAATGCAAATGAACTCGTGGTACACAAGACAAAACCTCAATAGAGAATGAATCCACCGGCAAAATATGATGAGGCTTAAGAAGAAGGACGCACACTGAGATTCAATAACGGAAAAGTTTCTCAACACACTGTATAAAAATCGTTTTGACAAAGCCTCTATAATCAATTATGTCCTCCGATCGATTAAGAGCATGTAACCTGTAACACCAGAGCAGCCACCAACTCTATAAACACAAGTCCAATAATAGAACCAAAACACTATTGGATACATATCTATCAGACCACAAATAAACTTTAAAAGCGGGGAAAAACAAAAATAAAACCACAAAACAAAAACGAAACGGAAACGGAAACCCTAACAAGGAAAGAATCGCCGAAGACAAGCTTACCCACGACATTTCGGGCGCATATTTGCTACGTAATTTAACGCGTAGGAAGACGAAGAAGATGATTTGAAGACTCTACTCCGTGTATCGTGTCTCAGACAAGGATTGATGCCACATGCCGGAGGGCCAGTGTAACTTCCAATTTCCTAATCATCCATTACTTTGAATAAAAAATTAATCAATAGAAACTTATGCTATCAATTGACTAGGAAAGAAAAATGACACTTATTTGGTAAGATACAGGTGACTTGTGCTAAAGGAATTCATTATATTTGATGGCCTGAAATTAAAGGAAATTACCGTGTAACTCTCTCGAGAAGATTTATTTGAGAAATAAAAGAGGAAAAGAATATTACACCAAACGTACTTTTGAGGAGATTTACATGTTTGCATCGAGAAAGGCATTTAACTAATATATGAACGAGAAAGAGTGGGGATCCAAATGAGAATACCAAATACGGTAAAAGGTTAAACTAATTAAAGCCATTATTCGCATTAATTCTTTAAGCTTTGCTTCTTTGACGTTCATTAAAAAGTAATCAACATTTATTCATATTCTTTCCCTTACGCATGGAAAGACAACATTAGCGTAAAAGAACAAATGCACATTTCCATGAGTAAATTCGCAGTGAAATGAAAAACAAATAATTTACAGTTGTAAAGAGTTGGGAAAGCCAAATAACAATAATAATAATAATAATAATAACAAATAAGGTTTATAATTATAAATTTTGATGTCTCTGTGAAGGTAGTAGCAATGAATAATGCGTTTGAATATCATGATTTTTCTTCTGCTCCGGTCGATAGGCACTTAAAAAACGCCTAAAAAAACGAGCAATAATATATTATCAATTTATTACATGATCCACGAGAATATCGAGCAAGGAAACTACTGTCATAATTAGAATTGTTCTTGTTTTTATTTTTTACGTTTTTTAAGAAAAAAATAAAATAATTTTAAAATGACTTTTGACATAATTAAAGATAAAAAACGAAAATAAAAACAATTTTTTATTTTCGTGTAAAATGGGAGTAGTCATTTTTCATTTTTTCAGAGAAAGAGACATTAATGAATTTTTTTTTATACTGAAAACAATCTCTTGATAAAACTACTAAACACATTTTTAAAAATAATTTCTATCTAAGATTGAAAATGTTTTCATTTCTATTTTCATACAAAAACACAAAATCGTTATCATTTTAAAACGAATTCTAAAAGCACTCTAGAATACACGATTAAGGAAAGTATTATATATCAAAGGAAGCTTGCTTATTTGCATTTCAAAAGCAAAAGAGCAACAAATGCGCATGCTTTTTGAACCATATTGACATTTGTAACTGCATGCTTTCCCCATATGTCCCAGCCCCCTTAACGGATCTACACGTCCGAGTTGTTGGTATAATGCTTTTCAAATTCATTTAATTTATTATCGTTTAGAAAAAAAAAAAAAAAAAAAAAAAAAAAAAAAAAAAAAAAAAACTTTTTAGGTAAGTCGGGATTAAAAAGAGAGAGAAAAGTTTAACCTTTTAGTTTCCGAAAAATAATGAGGTTTATAAGCTTAAACCGCATTTGACCCAAAGAGGAGGAAGAAGCTTCAAGGCACTTTCCAATCACCTTCCATTACATTTCTTTGATTCTCATTTACCCTCTGCGTTAAGCTAAAATCTATACCATTACGCGTTGTGGAATGGGAAACTATGAACCCTATATATATACACCAAGAAAACCCTATTCTTCCACACTTTATCCTACTTCTATAAGCACACTCAAAAACTGATCCCCCTTTTTTTATTTTTTTATTTTCCCTTTCTTGTTTTACTGTTTCATTGAATTTGGTTGAATCTCCTCTTTAAAGTGATCATGTCTCTTAGGCCACAAAAAACCATGTCAAAAGAAATAGCCATGCAAGACCAAAAAGATTGCTCAGTCATTAAGGTCAAAACGTCCATAAGTCGCCGATGGAGGTTGGCTCTCACTGCCATATCCTTTACTAGGGCTCTTGTAGCCTCTCTGTCGAAGAAAGATCTCCTGGACTACGTCGCCATTAAAGTCGAAAACCCGACTTTTCTCGATGCCGACCCGAAAGCGTTGAGTGACATGCTAAGGGGTAAGAATCTTGAAAGTCTGAAGTCTCAATTTGGAGGTGTCAAGGGCTTGGCTGCAATTCTTGAAAGTGATGTCAAAGGTGGTATTGGTAGTACAGCTGAGGCTGATCTTATGCGTAGAAAGAATGTTTTTGGTGCCAATGAGTACCAAAAACCGCCTGCTAAGAACTTCCTAAGCTTTGTGCTTGATGCGTTGAAAGATACTGTTATTATGATTCTCTTGGCATGTGCAGTTATCTCCCTAGGGTTTGGTATCAAACAAGATGGATGGAAAGATGGTTGGTTTGATGGCGGGAGTATAATTCTTGCCGTCTTTCTTGTCGTTGCTGTCTCTGTTGTGACCAACTTTAAGCAGTCTAGGTCATTCCAGAAGCTCTCCGCGAAGAGCAGCGACATAAAGGTGGAAGTTGTGAGGGATGGAAGGCGTCAACCCCTGTCCATCTTCGACATTGTTGTCGGCGATGTCGTGTGCTTGAAGATCGGGGATCAGATTCCGGCCGACGGGTTGTTCTTGGAAGGACATTCTCTCAAGGTGGATGAATCTAGCATGACGGGAGAAAGCGATCACGTCGAGATCAATGGCGACAAGAATCCCTTCTTGATGTCTGGGACTAAGGTGACAGACGGGTTCGGTTCCATGCTCGTCACTTCTGTGGGGATGAACACGGCGTGGGGCGAGATGATGAGCTCGATAAGCCGCGACTTGGATGAGGAGACGCCTTTGCAAGCGAGGCTCAAGAAGTTGACTTCTTTTATTGGGTATGTTGGCTTGTCCGTGGCTGCTACCGTTCTTGTTGTTATGACGGTCCGTTATTTCACAGGGCACACCACTAATGAGAAGGGGGAGAGGGAATTCTATGGTGGAAAGACGAGGTTCAATGATGCGATGAATGCTGTCGTCGGCATTGTGACTGCAGCGGTGTCGATCGTTGTGGTGGCGATTCCTGAAGGCCTGCCTCTTGCTGTTACATTGACATTGGCCTTTTCAATGAAGAGGATGATGAAAGACAATGCAATGGTTAGGAAGCTCTCGGCTTGTGAGACAATGGGGTCAGCCACAACAATCTGCACAGACAAAACCGGAACTCTTACGTTGAACGAGATGAAGGTTACAGAGGTTTGGCTCGGAGGAGGAGAGACAATGAGTTATGATCAGGAAAGTACATCAAATATGTCTCCCATAGTTCAGCATTTACTGCGAGAAGGTGTCGGTTTGAACACCACCGGCACCGTTTACAAGGCGAGTTTTGCATCCGTTCCTGAGATTTCTGGCAGCCCAACTGAGAAAGCGATACTTTCTTGGGCAGTTTTTGGCTTGGGATTGGATATTGATGAGGTGATGCAAAAATGTGAGACGATCCAAGTGGAGGCCTTCAATTCGGAGAAAAAGAGGAGTGGTGTTTTGATCAGGAGAAACCGGGAGAAGACTACGCACAGCCACTGGAAGGGAGCTGCTGAGATGGTACTCATCATGTGCTCGAATTATCACGACGAAGATGGAAATATCAAATCCATGAATGACCAAAAAAGGAGGAGCATTGAAACAGTTATCCAGAACATGGCTGCCAAAAGCTTGAGGTGTATTGCCTTCGCCCACAAAAAGCTTGAACAAGAAAATGGACAGGTCAGTGAGAAGCTTGAAGAAAGTGGACTTACCTTGCTGGGTCTAGTAGGTCTTAAGGACCCGTGTCGACCGGGAGTTAGAGAAGCCGTGGAAACCTGCACTGCTGCTGGTGTAAACATCAAAATGATAACTGGAGACAACAAGCACACAGCAAGAGCTATAGCAATTGAATGCGGAGTTCTAAAACCTGACGAGGATGTGGAGAGCGAAGCTGTAGTCGAAGGGGTTCAGTTCAGGAATTACTTGCCCGAAGAGCGAACAGCGAAAGTTGACAGAATCCGAGTGATGGCTAGATCGTCTCCATTCGACAAGCTCCTGATGGTGCAGTGCTTGAAGCAAAAGGGTCATGTGGTGGCAGTCACTGGGGATGGAACAAACGATGCACCCGCTCTCAAGGAAGCGGATATTGGGCTTTCTATGGGAATCCAAGGAACTGAAGTGGCAAAGGAGAGCTCAGACATTGTCATCTTAGATGACAACTTCTCTTCAGTGGTGACAGTTCTTAGATGGGGCAGGTGTGTGTACAACAACATTCAGAAGTTTATCCAGTTTCAGCTCACCGTGAATGTCGCCGCCCTCGTCATCAATTTCATCGCCTCTGTGTCTTCTGGCAAAGTCCCATTGACTGCTGTTCAGCTTCTGTGGGTGAACCTCATAATGGACACATTGGCAGCTTTGGCGTTGGCCACTGAGCAGCCAACCAATGAGCTGATGGAGAAGCCACCGGTGGGTCGAACAGCGCCGCTCATAACCCGAGTCATGTGGAGAAACGTCATTGCACACGCCTTGTTCCAGGTAACTGTATTGCTGACACTACAGTTCAGGGGAAGATCCATCTTTGGCGTGGATGAGAAGGTTAAGAACACAATCATCTTCAACACTTTTGTTTTCTGCCAAGTCTTTAACGAGTTTAATGCAAGGAAACTAGAGAAGAAGAACATATTCAAGGGAATACTTAAGAACAAGCTGTTTTTAGCAATAATTGGGATTACCATTGTGCTTCAAATGGTGATGGTGGAGTTTCTGAAGAAGTTTGCCCAGACTGTGAGGCTTGATTGGGGGCAATGGGCAGCTTGTATTGGCATTGCTGCTTTGTCTTGGCCGATCGGTTGGCTCGTCAAGTGCATTCCAATTCCTGGGAACAAGGCTTGACTCCAAAGAGCTTCTGCACAGCAAAAGACATGACAAGAATCAGATAAACCTGCATAGCTTTTTAATTTTTTTTTTCATGTTCATGTTTTTGCTTTCAAGTTCTAGACTTATTCAGCTTTTATCCTTGTTGCTAGTTTTTGTCTGGGTTTTAGGAAAATATTAGAAACACTTGTTAGCAAAGACTGAAGCCATTGTATCTGTGCCAGTAGCTGCTCAATGTGTTGGTGGTAATATGATAACGGAAATGACGCATTACTTTTATATACATGCATGTCTCTTCTGTTATTTATGAATTCACGTATATCTGCTTTTACACACATTGAAAAAAAAAAAAAAAAAAAAAAAAGGAAAGAAAACCAAACAAAACTGTTAGGAATCAGTTCATATCGTCCCTAAATGCAATCTCCTCTTACTCCAAGGTAAAATTTCAAAATTAAAATCCATGTTTATGAGAAACGAAACTTTATTTAAAAAATAAAGTTGAATGAAAAATAAAACTTTGGGGACATGAAGTTCTCAAAGAGAATACAGAAAAGACCAATCACATCATAACCGGAGACAGAATAATAATCGACATTGTTACAAGATATAAAAGAAAAGAAAAACGAAAATCGTAACAATCATAGAAAATCTTCATGTTAACCAATAAGAAGGTTGTATAGGATCATACCACAGACAAACTTCCTCCGATTATGGTAGAGAAAGCGCACTATCCATCATTCTCCATAAGCGTTTATGCGATTTTCCCTTCCTCTTGTCTGTGTGCGCGTGCAGTGCTATGATTGAAAGAATTAGCTCACCAAACCACAGAGGACTATAATGAAAAACGTAAAGGGAGCGAAAAGAAAAATAAAATAATAAGAATGAGTATCATCGATTTCTTTTTTTAGTAGACTCAATCCTCTTTCAAGTATTTACTAAACTAAGGAGTATGAATTTCATCAATGTAATTACTAAATTATATTTTTATATAACTAAATAATCATTAGTTTGTAACAGTGAATTCATCGAGGATTTATAAGTAAATTAGTCATTTATTCCATTTGATCGGGAATCAATACTAAGGGACGTAAGGATTGGTGTTTCTTTTCCTTATTCTGTTTCTAATGTGGAGCTCACTAAACTCTTATTACTGATTCTGTAAGTAAAAATACGATTAGATGGGGATAGAGAATCATTCCCAGTTGTCTCAATGCTTCTTGTTGAGGATCAATAGACTCTTTTCAGTTTATGCAAGGCAAACACGGCCCTGATTTCTCTCCTTTTCTCCCTGTGGGGGGGGGGGGTTGGTCAAGCAAGTTTAATAATCATGATAAACAAGAAATAATTATACATTTTCCTTGTCGTTTCCCCAATCATGGCAGAGTACAGCTCAAGAATTCTAGATGGTTTTTTTTTTTTTTTTGAAAGGGAATTCTAGATGATCTATTGCTTTCTTTTGAACAAATTTATTAGTTCAAGTGTTCTTATCTAAATTATGATTGTTAATTCAAGTGTCCTTATCTGAATTATGAGCTACGTCTAGCAAAGCAATCACTAACAATAATAACTATGAAGGATTTGCAACCTCTGCTTGCCAAAGAGCGATCTCTTGATTCATACATTTCAAATTTTTACACATTGTCTATGAAGGTAGAAATAGAATAATGCAATCAATTACTGGCCTACAACTAAATGCGAAAGTTGTTGCCATATATTTCTCAATTGAACATTTAAAATAACCAAATAAAAATGAAACTAATAATAATAAAAATAATTGAGTAACAAATAGGAGAACAAATTTGGTAATCGTTGATTTTACACACTAAAGAAGAAAAAAATTGATAGAAAGTCCACCGCATTGACTGATCAACACTTGCCGTTCATTTCAACTTGCCAAACCTAAACATGGAAAATCTCTAAATAAGAAAAATAAATTCCAAGAATTGAGACTTCAGTTACCTGATTACATGTAGTGCACAAGACATTTGATCCAAGTAGCAGCGCAGCTGTAGCTAAAAAATAAAAGAACAAAAGAGATTGCAGATGTTTACTATAGTTAGATACTAAGAAAGAAAAATTGTAAACAATTACCAAAGTAGTTACTTCATTTTTCAATCAGATATTACAACAGAATCTGACATAATCGGTTTTTACTCGATGTAAGAGGAATCGATTCTAGGACCTCACCACAATTTACTAAAGACTATATCCTTTTGTAAATAAATGAATAAATAAATAAATCTGTTCAAAAAATCATACTATATAATATATTTGGCTGTAAAGAGTACGTACCGTGCCGCAAGCACTAAACTCTGATAAAACAACAATCAACAAAGTATTCCAAGTTCATTCCTTATAGAGAAATTTGGTATCGGACTCATCAATAAGTAAAACTAGGCGACCAATGCAACAAAAAATGCTTCAACAGCAAATAACTGCTGCAATTTACTTTCTTCAGTGTAAAACTTACTCTCCATCAAATTCTTCCAAGAAAATATTCCAACAAAAAAAAGGGGTCCATAGGTTCGTGCATAAAGATGCCATAGAAACAGAAGAAACATAAGTGCGTGTCCATAGGTTCGTACGTAAAGATGCCAAGCCATGTTCTTCCCATGTAGCTTTGTTAATTTTATTTCTTTGAATAGCTGGCCTTTTATGAGCTCTTAAGGGCCTTTTATTAACTTAATGTTTTGCAAAACAACGAATCAGATGTAAATGCAAATCCAATCACTAAAAGAGAAGCACCACATTTTTTAACAAGAATACAAGGACGAAAAAGATATTTAATTTTCTAATAACCAATGAAAATGTTGGAATGAAGATAAAAAAAAATAGGACTAGTCTCCAGTCCAATACTGGACTGGAGCGGCACTTGTATATTTTTTCTTTAAAAGATGTATATTTTCTCTTTAAAACGTATATATTTCCTCTTAAAACATGTATATATCGTATATTTTACCATTAAAGGAAATGTACATGTTTTAAGTGGAAATATATATGTTTTAAAGAGAAAATATACATGTTTTAAAGAAAAAATATACAAGTGCTTTTTCCCGAGAAGTCATATTTTGTGGCTTTGATCAAAAACTCATATGAAGTGCAAACAGCCTTAGAAAGCAATGCCAAATAGACCCGTCTCGATGTTGAACATTGTGTAAGGACTTTGTTGTAGCTTCTGGACTCGTCTCGATGTTGAACATTGTGTAAAACTAGGCGACCACTGCATCAAAAAATGCTTCAACAGCAAATAACTGCTGCATTTTACTTTATTCAGGGTAAAAATTACTCCATCAAATTCTTCCAAGAAAATTTTCCGACAAAAAAAAAAGGGTCCAGAGGTTCGCGCATAAAGATGCCATAGAAACAGAAGAAACATAAGTGCGTGTCCATAGGTTCGTACGTAAAGATGCCAAGCCATGTTCTTCCCATGTAGCTTTGTTAATTTTATTTCTTTGAATAGCTGGCCTTTTATGAGCTCTTAAGGGCCTTTTATTAACTTAATGTTTTGCAAAACAACGAATCAGATGTAAATGCAAATCCAATCACTAAAAAGAAGCACCACATTTTTTATCAAGAATATAAGGACGAAAAAGATATTTAATTTTCTAATAACCAATGACAATGTATATAATATATATATATATGTATATATCTTATTGAAACTTGGTACAACTTTTAAAAGGGTTTTTTTTTTTTTTTCGAGAAGTCATATTTTGTGGCTTTGATCAAAAACTCATATGAAGTGCAAACTCTTCAAAAAAGTTATCCAAACACTTCCGAAAGGTGCTTTTAGACCTAAGAAGTTAAAAGTAGCTTTAGAAAGCAATGCCAAATAGACCCGTCTCGATGTTGAACTTGTGTAAGGACTTTGTTGTAGCTTCTTAAGCATCAAGATGTTTTTTTTCCCCTTCTGTTCTTTTCTCTTTTGACTTTAAATGTTTGCTTCCTCCGCAAGATGTTCCAAACCCATCAAATAACGCAAAATAGCTGAAAAGGCAATTCTAAAGGTATGCCGTCTTCTATTTCTCTTTGGTCATGTCGTTATTTTCACGAAAAATAAAATATGTTATATTTTCGGCATGCTCAAAGGTAAACAATAACCGCACATCTGGCCCCAGAGAATGTTATTCTAGCTCACCAGCAGACACTTATAGTTAAATTCATGGACCCCAAACAGCATACACAGTTCTATAAGTTAATGCACAGTTTAAAGTTTGCTAATGAAGTTTTAACATCTGTTAACAGTTCTAATCAATTTCCCATCCAAAAATATCACGTATCAGATTCATTCAAATATTCATCTAGAGTAAAACATAGCATTTTCTGCCACTTCCAATATCAAGCCAAGCCTTCAAGTGAACGACAAGAACACAACATGGACGACTGCTATTACCAAAACTAAAAGAAGTATTTCATGAAAAGATTGTGAATGGATTAGCTGACCTCAATATCCGTGAAAAGATCAGAAAAAATTCATGGGTTCTTTTAGATTTGAAAGACGACACTCTGAAACTGTAAATCGGCTCGTTGTTTCAAGTTATCCTCCATATGCAACACCTGCAACTCAAACAGAGAACTAAAAATCTCTATGCTTTTTCAGGGAGAGAGAGAGAGAGAGAGAGAGAGAGAGAACAAATCCAAAATTAGATACTTACATGGATTAGAAAACTCGTTTAGATGCCAACTCAGTTTGATTAGATTATCACAAGACTAGAAACATCGTGTATTTTTGTTTTTCTGATTTCGATTTTAGCAGAAAAACTGATCATGACACGCAACACAAGCAACGTAAAATACCGTCATCACGTCAGAACATTCCAGAAAAAGTATGGTGAAGCAAAGAAGAGAGAAGAAAAATCTAGAGAAAAGATGCTCTTCTTAAAGAATATTACATATATGGACGTTTCTAGAGATGCCAACCATACAACAACAATAAGCCTTAATCCCAATTTAATTGAGGTTAACTAGATACCAGAACCATAATAATAAAAAATTAGTCTTGCTTTGTCCAAGAAAGAGATCATTACAAACAATCTATTAAGAGCAGAATCTCTTTGCTATATATATATATATATATATATATATATATATATATCATATGTGGGAGTTCTCCAAACTCCTTGGGAGATTCAATCAACAAAGAAGAAGCGGTTGGCATGATATTCGAAAACGACTTGCCTGAAGATTGAATGAAAAGCTCGCAAAAGTCAGAGTGCTTGAGAAAAATTTACTAGTCAAAGCAGGTGTTAGTACAATATTGGAGA